GAAATGAGCTAGGGAACCGGAGGAAATACAAGAGAATATTCAGGGGCGAAGAAGTGGGATTTCAGAATTTAACCTCATGATGACACAGTCTTCTTTTCAGAAACGAACTTTGATTTGCAACCAACTATCATAAACGCTTCAGACCATTTTGAGTAGCAGTTTCGGCATCAGATGTTATTAGCCAAGCTATTCTTTCTTCCACTGTATTACTTCCCTAATCAGTTGAATCTCCTGAATTAATTTTGGCCGGAATATAGTGTATAGAGTTGTAACCTTGATGGAATTAAGAAAACCTTGCGGTAGCCATTTTAAGTTACAAGAAAATGTGGTAAAGCAAGTATACCACAGGTTGGCTTCAGTGATATACATGCGGTGATTTGCTTGCAGTCATTGTCCGACTTCGTAAAACCTTCACGACGTTTCTGACCCGCATAACACTGAACCCAACTCCGTCGTACTTGGACTTGATGTGGACAAGCTTAAAATAACATGTACATGACATGTAGAGCCTGGAGATCCTGGCAGCCAGCGGTGCATCAGTTCTCATTGCTCACACGGAGCTGCCGTTGCAGCATTCTGATGCATTGCATCTAGCTTGCAACTAGTAGAAAATGACTTTCGACGGTCAGGCCTGGGCTACGAGTCAAGTTGCTTGGTCTCTGGTGAAATCTGCATCCGTTGAAGCTCTCTGGTCAGGTATAGAGAATGAAGTAAACTCCAGGTGTGACCAGTTTGTGCACATCAAGCGTCCGGAAAAGGTACCAGTCAAGCCACATCGGTTCGACAGGGATTGTGGTATGCTGGCTCGACGGCGGAAGATACACTTGTACACTTTCCTTATCTCTGGCTGGGTCAACGACGAGGAGGTATATCAATAGCCGCTGAACAATTGCAACAGTGCGAAAGTAACAAGTGTCGCTATTTCGAAGAACAGCTTGCAACCACAGCAAAGGTCGCCCCGAAAAGACTCACTCTTTACTTGATGAGGCGCATGAACCCCGCAGGTGCATTACCAATGATAGTGGGCTCTAGCTGACATCCGCTAACCTCCAGTGCTCAGTGTTGGTGCGCGTGGGCGTCGCACTCTGCTTCTGGTGTCTGCAATTGGCAAGCGTCTGTATTGCGTTCTACGGGTGCAGTCCTTACCGAACTCGACATTCTGAATTGTGGCGTAGAAAAGGTGCGTCAACAACTCGCCAACCTTGATGGCACCAAACCTGTTGGGCCTGACGGGTTCCAGCCCCTAATGCTCAAGTCATCAGCTCGGACCCCGTGACTGACTTGTTCCTCAAGTCGCTATACGATGGTGCATTAGCGATTGCTTGCAGATGTTTGGTGGTATGTTTCGGAAACCAATGACACCAGCAAAGCAGACAATTGCAGGACAAGTTGTTGGGCACTTGTTTTGACCAAGCTAGCTGAGAAGATAGAAAGGGAGATGTTGCTACAACTGTTCCGTTCAAAGGACCTCCTGACGTCCGCACAACACGGTTTTATGCCAGGCTGTTGTTGTATTGCGAATCTGTTGGGGACGAGACACTAGTGAGTATAATCAGTTTGCAGTTACTTTTTTGAATTGATCCAAATCGATTTCCGCTAAGCGTAGGACAATTGGACCCGTCCACAGACTAAGAGCGTGTGGTACTGGTGGCTCACTGTACCAGCGGATCCGCGAGTTTCTCGTCGGACGAAAGTGGAGGGTACAAGATGATGTCTACCTAACCGACTTGTATATCCTACAAGGGGCAAGGAAAGATGTTGGCATCTACTCTGTCCTTGACCTATAGCAACTATCTACCTCAGTTTATTCTGTCATCTTGTGCCCTGTTTGCATACAACTTGAAGATGTGGAGAGTTATCCGCATCCCCTACTACCGCGGTCGCAGTACACATGTCTCTGTCGCTCAACCTTGCCAGATCTAGCCAAAATCGGTGTACCATTGGTGCTATAAATCGACATTTCCATCCAATACTTACGCATGACGCTTTGCGACCCAACGGTTTATCACTCGTGTGGTGTGCACATGACCACAGCCCAGAAGTTGAAGTTATGTTCCCCACATGAGGTGTCCTATGTGTAGCGGAGCCCATTCGAAGCGGTTACACACGGGGTGGACTATCAGAAATATTTTCTTAAGCTGCCACTTTGTTCTAGTCCGCGAATAATTTTTGTCGTACCGGGATGGTGCCAAGTTCTAATGGTCTGCCTTCTTTCCCCATGGCTCAGTGGTATAAGCTGTTGACTAGTGGCGTGAGCTGTTAGCGGTTATAGGTTCCATCTCCAGCAGGGAACCAGCAGGGAATGCGCAGAAGTGATGAGCCCCCATGGGGTGAAATAATCGTCCGATACTTTTCCGGATTGGAATTAGACTAACTTGCTTTGTGAGCAGCTGGGATAAACCAGAAAAATATCATCCAGAATCTTCCTACGCAGAGGAAAACGTAGTTACGATAATCTTAGAGAATCCTAGAGACAGGTTTTTAACGTTTCGGAAACGTTTTACCTCCACCGCGGTTTCACTCGAAACACCTGCTGTGCGAACGGAATACGACATGTAACCTTAATCCGGACAGTGATTAAAACTGAAGTGAATCTCAGTCATTTGGGGTCCTTCAAATGAGTCAGTAGGCGTTGACAGAAACTTTACATCCGGCGCGAAGGCTTTAAACTAAAGGACTCTGGTGGTGACCTCAGAATCAGTAGTGCGAGTTGAAATCGCGATATCTATACCTGATGATAGCAATAAAGTATGTAACCTGTCTGGAGTGTAATGATTCGAGCTAATAAAACCTGACATTCAGGCACTTCGACATTATTCTCTTCTCGAGTGCCAAAACAAGAGAATCCCCTACCTAGCACACGCGCGTTTCGCTCTTCCTATCGGCCTCCAGCCTGCGTTGTGTTATCACACCCAGGCGTCAGGGCTCATCGATCCCTATGGATGAACAGAGTTCACTGGCTGGCAGAACTGAGGCCCCTGAAAGCTTGTATTTTATGCTAGCGCACAATTTCAAGTTCATCCCGTAGGGCAGATGCGACGTCTACAAGCAGAGTAGTCGGGCATTTATCCGAGAAATACACTCGGTCCAGCCTAGGGAAGCCATTTGGTTCCTAGCGTGTAGACAAAACAACCTTCTAGGAGCAGTGCTATTTATGATATATATCATTCCTCAAACGCACCTTTTTAGAACTCACCTTCTCTCCAAACTTTGCGCCGTTGTTATTCGCATCACTAACATTTGTGACTACTAACAAGCAACAAGTTCACATGAATGTTAGTTGGTCTAATTAAAATATCCACACATTCCTCATTTGAGAGATCACTTTAAAGCACCGGTTGTGTGGATGGGTTACCACGAGTCACATTGAAGTGAACCCGGATAACTTCGTGCACTGAGACTGCAGCTGAAGCAGATGGCGATTGGGTGTTGCCCGAACATACCACCCCAATACTGGTTACTAAATTGCTCCATATCATCAACTAATGATAATACTCATAACAAAAATGTATTTTCTCGCTTTTAGGGTACATGCCCTTTCCGGCATGATCAAGATTTTACAAGCATGTCACACAATCACAACCATAGAAGGGAACAGACGCATCAAAATAGTGAAAGAGCTATAATATATTTTAAAAAGAGAAAAGGAACTAGTCAAGGGCTCAATTAAAGTAATACGGCTATTCGTAAAACCGTCTCCTAGGGACCTGCTTCCATGCCGGCTAGTGCCACTTGGGGTTTCATTCGCACTTTCACTCCCATCTGACACTGTGCCCGTGTGGCTTAAAAGTATGCACGCCATCAGCGGTTTCATTCATCTCTCAGGCCATTTTTATGTTCGATTAGGATAGACTCTTCTGCTTAATCTGGCCGCCTTCCAATGTGACTTAAATGCCTACAGTCATCACCTCTTCACCTTTATTCTTTTGTTTTCTTGGCTATTTTATGCGCATTTATGTTGGCCACTTTAGCAGGCACTCGAATCCGAGGCCTTTGGAATGTCATGCTGCTTGACGAAGCCAAACACGTTCGCACTCAGTCGTAGAGTGCGTTTTCGGTCGATCGGCTTTCAGTAGCCATCTGATCCACTAATTGCACTTGTGTGGTGAATGAGTCGTGAGACATGCCCACCTGACGCAGAAGAGTTGACTTTACTTGTGAGTAAAAAAATTTTGGCGAGTATTTTGCATCCGTCGCAATCAGCGGACAATGCAGATAACTCAACCACCAATCTGGAAAAGCACCTGACGGCCGTTTTGCCCTATTGGGGCACGCCAGTGGAGCGCATCCATCGGTCCTCTTCCAAGGATTGGACCCATGACCGCTAGTGACTTCCACCAACTAGCCCGCAGCTTATGCCAATGAGCCATGGGGGACGGTAACCGACCATCACGAATTGTTGACTTTCATGTCATCGCTAGGCGGACGTGTAGTGGGAAAACTGTGAAAAGACTTGACAAGCACGTACAAGCAATTTCGTGCTAGCTACTTTGAGTGTTCTGTCTGATTTTCTGTGAAATTAGGACTGAGCATAAATGTGTAAGGTTGGATGCATTATGTGACAGGTTCACAGCTGGTTTCCTCGTCGTCCAGCATACCAGCCCCTCAGTCATTCACGAGTTGAAACATCTCGTACCACTGAAGGGAGCGTTTTGTGTCGCTTTTCCGGCATGGAAACTGGGGTTATCAGGATGTTGAGAAGAAGTGTAAAGTGGATAGAATAGGCGCATTTCAGTTGGAATATCGTCTTCAAATGTGCTACGTAACACTATTCGTTCTACTTGTATCACTGTGCCTTGTCTCGTAGCAACTTGAGCCTTGAGATATGTGCATGAACCGTTTAGTGCTCACCACTTCTGACTGCGTCCTGTTGATGAATTTGTTTTTTTTGTAGGTTCGTTGGATATCCCGGGAATTATACTAGATTCTTTGGTTTACGTCACGAGGACTGCAAGCAGGGCGGCTGCCTGATAGAACTAGCTCAACATCTGCTGGTCATCATGGTCGGAAAACAAATTATCAATAATTGCCAAGAAATTCTGTTCCCGTAAGTTTTGGTGGATGAGTAAACGAAGTTTTCTGCATTTCAGGCTGAGTCTAGATGGTTATAGATTACTTAGGATCAGGCAAGCTCATTGTAGCAAAGCTGGAAACGCTTTGTGTTACAAAAGTTTGGAAAGCTCATTGTCTTCTGTAGAATCCGTTGATGCTATCAATCAGGCAAATCCGTTTAGTCTAGTCAAGCTATTGTGATTGGGTAAAACCTATCAGTATTTTTGAGCCTGAAATTAGCAAACTTTGTCCAAAAACTGCAGCTTTTCGAAAAGTGATACCTTTGTAGGATAGGACAGGTTAGTTTTGCTGCAAAGGTGTTAAAATGTCTGAGCGCTTGACATTGCCACCATAGTTGCCTCACAAGAGACCAATCCTATGTTCCGTAGAATAGGTGGCTAACACGAGCACAGGAGCAACAATCATGCTAGTTTGACTGAGAAAGCGGCTGTAAGAAGGGACAGAGAAATTACAAAGCACCAATGCGGCACGAATGCTTTGTTGTGCTTGGTACTATAACTGCCTCCACCGACTAACAGTGATGAGACACGAACCAGAATGAACAAGTTTCAGGGTAAGTTTCTATTGGAAAACGACACGTAATTGTAAAAACTAACCAGAGCACAGAATGTGAACGACAACACAAAGCCAATAAGGACCGAGCGAATAGAGAGCCAATCAGGTACCTGGATAGGCATGAAATAGCCTTAGCGAAAGGGTGGAACAGTGATCGTTACCCAGAAACAACAACGGTGAACAGCCAAATGGGGCTAACGAAATGTCACCTGAGAATGAGCGCTAAAGAATAAGTGCAACAAAATCAAATTTTCCGATTCTGAAAATGTACATAGGCGCACTGAAATTGTTAATGCTCCTCTAACACGCTTCCATGCAATCCAACAATCAAATACTTAGTTTCCTCAAGTACACGGAACAGGCTGTTATTTGGGATGATATAGATATATATGAATAGTCATGTAAGCATATATATATCCTGTTGTTTGTCAGCGGATATGCATTCACTTTAAGTAACTTGAAAATTCTCATCAAAATATCTAGAACAAAAGACCGTCCTGGTGAGCATTTGCTTTCATTGATTCATCCTCAGAAAATTACAGTCACGAATAACGGCCAAACAATTAATATCAACCTATTTTGTTCAAGTTACATTGGACACGTGAGGGTCAGTATCGAAGACGACAAAACCAACTACACATCAGTTGTTTAGTTGCGTGTTACTTAGTTTGACCTAAGGCGGTTGACTTGTATCGTCCATTTTCGCTGGCCAGGGAAGCTGAAGAGCTCATACTGTCTAATTTTGCGAGATTAATCAGTGTAAACCGACAGGTTGTTTTCAAACCTTGCTGAAATCCTGGATTCTGAATTCGTTCCAAGCATATTTCAAGATGTTAATGTCTAAAGCAAATTGCTTTGGCTGTCGATATTGCACAAAAGCGTTGACCTGGCGATCGGTGCGATGGAACCTTGTACACCATGCTAAAAGCACGCTTTGGATCCAACTGATGCCCAGTGTCGACGATATGGTCCAGAATAGAGCTGGTCAAGGTCCCAGCAGAAGTGTGCAGTAAATAGATATTTCTCAGTTGTTAGTCACTTTTGGCAAGTTTTTGAAGCATGAGTTAACGGGATTAAAAGTAATCCTCCGTCCCACTTCTTGGGCGCAGTGTCTGATGTTCGCCGACAGGTTTTGATAACCATCGCCATTTTATCCGATACAACTTAATCGTAAAGTTGTTACGATGTTCCATTTGTGCCCCTTTACTCAAATGCTTCATACCTTGTGGAGGCGCATACGTCTCTCTTTTGAAACGAAGCTCTGATACCATACTCTTTTTATGCGTGTGCCAGAACTTCAACACCCATTGACCATAAGTGCGGACTGAAACACTACACTGAAACACTACATAATTACAACGCTTGTTCTCGGCAACTTCGATGTCGTCATTGCAATAGGAATTCTTCTAACCTAGGTGTGTGCCTGGTAATCATAAGACAACCCTTTGAGCATATCGGCCTATTTTGCCGCTTTCACACTACGGACTGCAATGGGTCTGGTGGCAATTTGTTACCTTTAGCTTTCAAGCCACACGTCCCCTCTTAGTTTTCAGTTAACGTAATATTTTGTACTGCGCGGATCCCCCACGACCTTCCCCCGGGAAGTCGTTTACATCCCGCTAGGTAGTTCAAGGCAGCTAGAAGTACGGCAAAGCTCCATGCTGTTTCGTACCAGGAGAGTCGTGAATCACCTGGAAGTGGTAGCTTGTAGCCAGATCACAGGGCAAGTGGTATATGGACTTTAAACTTTAATGGCTCAGAAAGCTATACTACCTCTTTGTTGATCAGAAGAGTTCTGGTGCTTGTTCCACTTGGAACATTGTGCTTTAGTACTTTTGTATATGAAAGAGTATTCCGGAAATAATCGGTGCCATACTGCGTACTATCAATGGTGTTTGTCCAGGCCTGAGTGGAGTCGGCAGAAGTTACAGACTTTGCAAACAGTTCACATGCTTACTGGTGTACTTTTGGACTTTCGGATCCATTTTGGCAAAGGAGAGATATTGGTTTGGGTTAGGCACGGTGGGAGTCGGGAATGATTACTGATTACTGTTTGGAAGCAGCAAGTACAGTTTGCTCTGTGTAGCTGCATCTAATATCACTCAGAGACAAAGACACGTTACGCTGTGTTGCACTCCATATGTTTTGCGTCGGCAAAGTGTTTGTCCAGGAATTTCTTAAATTCCGACACCGAATTTGCCGCAACTACGTGTTGCGGCCGGCCGTTCCATACATTCACCACTCTGCGTTTAAAACAGAGTTGGGGAGCGACCCGCTTCCAGTCCGGCACGCCGAGCTTGTACCGGTGTCCTCGTGTGCTGCGTGGTGTGCGCAGATGAAGCAGTGGTCTCAAGATAAGGTAATCATCCAGATGTAATATCCGGTGAGTCATTATGAGGTCTACCCTCATTCGACGATAAGCTAGTTTCTTACACCGGTCTCCGTACGGTGCACTTCGTAAGTTGGGAATCAGCCCGGTGGCTACATGCTGCACTCGCTCCATCTTACCTACCTCGCCCCGGGTGATAGGACAATACGTGGGAGAGCTATACTCTAGCATTGGTCGTATTATTAAGACGAAGAGACGAGTGACAACCTCTTCGGACCAAGTGCTGAAGCTGAGCCTGAGCGCCCAAAACATATGAAGGCTGTTTTGGTAAATCCTATTCGTGTTGTCCATTGACTTTAGATCTAAGCGTGACAGTACACCAAGGTCGCGCACGAAAGACGTGGGATGCAACGGTTGACCAGCCACCGTGTAAGTTCGACTGTGCTCACACTCATTCAGCCTCATGAATTGCAACCTGACCGGGTTGATCTGAAGGTTGACCTCTGCAGACCACGTGGAGAGGCCGTTGAAGTCCTGCTGAAGCAGGTCCCAGTCATTGGGTGTGTTGACTACTCTCTACACCTTCAAGTCATCTGCGAACAACCTGCAAGGTGATTAGAGTAGCTGAGGCACATCGTTTACATGGATGAGAAACAAAATCGGTTCCAGTACAGCGCCTTGGGGCACGCCACTGCTCGACGGTTAAATGGTTGTCCACCTGGACCCTCCACTTTCGATCAACAAGGAAATTCCTAATCCATTGGTGCAGCGAGCCACCAACACCGCATAACAGGCTGTCGAAGAGCACTGCATGATTTACCTTGTCAAAAGCCTTACTGAAGTCAATGTAAATGACGTCGACCGCCTTGACTTGGTTCAGCGCTTGTAATCATTCGTGCCTCGTCAACAGTAGGTTGGTGATGCACGAGCGACCTTTCACGAAATCATGCTGTGCGGGGATCAAGAGTCTTCTGAACTCGAGAAGCTGCAGTAGGCTCTTCTTCACGATCTTCTCGAGCGTCTTGGCCAAAACAGCGGTCAGGCAGATGGGTCGGTAGTTATCCACTTTGTTTGGGTTACCACCTTTCGGTATTCGCTTCACGACTGAGCATTTCCATTCGCCCGGTAATATTTCAGTGGATAGTGACCTGTTGAACAGCTCAATTACAGAAGGCGAGATGATGGCCGGTAGGGACTTGAGAATTAGCGGTTGGATTCCATCTGGCCCAGTAGGCATCGTCCCGTCAACATTTGCTAGAAGCTTGCGTACATCTTCAATGCTGCAGTCTAGGCTCTCTAGTTCAGCGGGAGCGGTACTAGTCGAACTCGTTACAGACACCTGGTCACTTGCAAATACGGAGGCGAAGTGTGCCGCCAATGCGGACGCACGATCTGTGCTTGAGGTTAGGGGCTGTCCATCTGAGCCTTCCAACACTGGAACATTGCCTGCAGGCCTCAGTCGCCGCTTCACGTAGGCGAAGATCCACTTGAGAGCAGTTTTTGCTGCGGTTGCAAGCTGCTCTTCGAAGCTTCCGCCTTTTTGTTTTCGCGTTGCTGCGTAGATGTCGCTGTACCTTGTACGCCATGTGGTCCTCATCAGAGCCAGATAACACTAATTTGTTCCATAGTCTGCGTCGTCGTCGGGCCAGTTTGCTGTACTCTTTGTCGAACCAATGTGGTTTGACTGGCTCAACTTTCCCATATTGAGGGGTACAAATCGGGCACACAACGATTTCACTCCCACTTTAATGATCGTCCAACAGGTTTAAATAGACGAATCCTCTGGTAAAGACCAGTCCATCTGGCTCGCTGCTCCAGTGAGGCCATTAAAGTCAGCCTTTTAATAGCTGAAGGCTGACTCCAGCGAGGGAGAATACGGCAGCGGCAGTTCCAAGCTGGCTATGATCATCGAGTGGTCACTCGCTCCCAGAGACTCTAAGACTTGAATGTCATGCACACGTTGCTCACATCTGGTCAAAAGCAGGTCTACGCACGATGGGGTCACGCGCGCAGTTATGCGTGTCGGTTGGTTGATGTGCTGTGTGGTCCCGGTTTCAAATATCAACTCCGTAAACTTAGACTTCACAATG